CTGCACGCAGTGCCCCTTCTCCGCCGCCTCCCGCCAGGAGATGACCCTGCACATCGAGGACCACCGCAAGAACCCCCCGCCCGGGCGCCTGGAGGCCGAGATGGGTACGGGATTGACCCCTCTCCCCCGGGACCCTCCATCMCGGCTGCGGGGTTGTTCCCTGTCCCGCGGGGTTAAGGCTCATCCCGCTCCCTCTGTCCTGGCAGGGGCTGGTTGGGCTCCAGTCCCTGCATGCCCAGACCCTGCAATGTCCCTGGAGGGATTTGTGTGCCCTCTCCGTGCCCCCCAACCCCAATATCCTGAGGGGTCTGAGTGCCCTCCCTGTGTCCCCAACCCCTGCCACGCTCTGGATGGGTCCGTGTACCCTCCCAGTGCCCTCCCTGTGTCCCCAGCCCCTGCTCGGGACTGTCCCCATGCCCCTGGGGGGAATCTGTGTGTCCCCCCAGTGTCCCCCAGCCCCTGCAATGTCCCTGGCGGGGTTTGTGTGACCTCCTTGTGCCCCCCACCCCAGCTCCTGCTGTGCCAGAGAGTTCTGTGTGCCTTCCCTATGCCCCCAGACCCTGCAATGTTCCTGGGGGATCTGTGTGCCCTCCCAGTGCCCTCCCTGTTCCTTTCCTATGTCCCCAGCCCCTGCCATGCCCTGGATGGATCCGTGCATCCTCCCAGTGCCCCCCAACCCCTGCCGTGCCCCTGGGGGGGATCTGTGTGCCCTCCCTGTGTCCCCAGCCCCTGCAATGCCCCTGGAGGGGTCTGAGTGCCCTCCCAGTGCCCTCCCCATGCCCCCAAGCCCCTGCCATGCCCCTGGAGGGGTTTGTGTCCCCTTCCTATGTCCCCAGCCCCTCCCATGCCCTGTATGGATCCATGTGCCCTCCCAGTGCTCCCCAACCCCAGAGGGGTTCAGATCCCCTCCCTGTGCCCTCCCCGTGCCCCCCAGCCCCATGCCTCCCCACCCAGGTGCTGACAGCTCTCTCCCCTTCTTCCCGCAGATTTCGGGGTGGGCCTGGCCCCGTTCCACGCCAAGCTGACGCCGGAGATGGAGAACTCCCTGTACTCCCAGCTTTGATGCCCTCGGCTCCCACGGGACTCTCCCCACGCCCCCCCTGAGCCGGGCAGGGGGGCACAGCACAGCCCCTGCCACCCTGCGGGCACAGAGACCCCTCCCCGGGGACAGGAGCACCCCCAGCCCACCCGGATGCAGGAGGGGCGGACGTTTCCTTTGGGATTCCTCCCGTTCCTTTTTTATTTTGGGGAACTCTCCAGCACCCGGGACCCCCGCACCTCCCTCCCCTCAAGGTTTTGTCGCTTCGGCCCCGGGGGCTCTGGGGGAGCCCGGGAGGTTCTCAGGAGTTACCGGATTTCTCTGGTACGAGATCTCGGAATAATAAATGGGAATTGTACAGGAACGGTGACTGGGAGAGGCTCTGTGGGGCTGGGRGTGATGGGGGAGCGGGGCTGGCACTGAGGAACCCCCAAAAAACACAGGAGGGGGATATGGGGGGGTGCAGGGGGTGAGGGACCCTCTGCCCCCGGGTTGGGCCTGCCAGGGGATGGTTTAGGGAAGGGGAAAGGGAAGGGTTGGGAAAGGGAAAGGAAAGGGGCTGGGGAAGGGGAAAGGGGAAAGGGAAGTGTTTGAGGAAAATCTGAGGAAGGGGAAAGGGGAAGTGTTTGGGGAAGGGGAAGTGTTCGGGAATGGGGAAGGTCTGAGGAAGGGGAAGGGGCACTCCCCACTCCCCCAGGCCCCCCTCAGCACATCCCAGATCGTGCAGGGCTCCTGAGCAGCACCCCAGCACCCAAAGCAGGCTGGGACCCCAACCCCCAGCTGGCCTCGGTGCTGTCCCAGCCCTGCCGCTGGCAGAGGTGCCAGGAGAGCATGGAATGGCACGGAATGGCACGGAATGGCACAGAATGGCACAGAATGGCACGGAAGGGAGGAGCAGGGGCCCTGGTGCCCAGCCCGAGGGGGCTGCACCCGCTGCACCCCCCGTGGGAGCACCCTGGGGCTCCCCCAGTCCCGCTCGGCCGGTCCCAGCCCAGCGGGGTGAAAAGTTTGCTGCAAACTGGTTTGAGAGGAGGCGTGCTGGGACCTGCTGGTGCCTACAACAGCCCCGGCTGGGAATGAGGGACAGGAGCACTGGGAGCACTGGGAGCACTGGSAKCCCCTGCCCTGCTGGTGCCACCAGCCCTGGGAGGGGACACAAACCCTGGGAAGGGGCTCAGAAAGGCCCAATGGCCACGTGGCCATGGTGGGCATCCCTTCCTGCTCCAGCCATCCCTTCCTCCCTCTGCCATCCCTTCCCCTTCCCTTCCTGCCATCTCTTTCTCTACCATCCCTTTCTCTCCCATCCCTTCCTTCTCCCATCCCTTCCCTCCTCTGCCATCCCTTCCCTCTCCTGCCCACCCCAGCTCCCTCCTGCACCCTCCTGAGCTGGGTCCGTGCCCTGCCCAGCCCAGCCCGGTCCCCTCAGGCCCTGAGCAGGGGGACAGACAACCCGAAGTGTCCCCAAGCTGCTGAGACCGGACAGAGTGACAGCTCATTACAGGGTCACAGAGTCCCCCAAGGGGACAGCGACCCCGAGACCCCAAGGAGGGCACCAGGCACAGCACCGGGCACAGCTCAGCCCGCACCCCCAGCCCATCCTGCCTCCTCCAGGGCAGTGCCCACCCCAGAAGGAGGGAGACCCTTCCCGAACTGCCCCTGCCCCTGACCCCCTGCTCCGGCTCCAGCCACCTCCTGGGGTCCTGCAGACCCCACCCCACAGCCCAGCCCCAAATCCATCCCAGGCTGAGCCACAGCCGGGGACAGGGGGCACTCCCAGAGCTGCCCCACACTCCGAGCACTCCTGGCCCTYCCCGAGGCACAGGCAGCCAAGCCAAGCTCCATCGCCATGGGTTTTTAAAAACGGAAGTCTTTATTAAAGTTTTATCCAAATTTTGTAACAAAAGATACAAAAGGGCTGGAGATCCTTATTTCTGGGACTAGTCTGACCAATCAAAACCTGACAGTTACTAGGCTAATATAAAATCCATACAATCTGCTAAAAATGCAGGGAAAAAAAAAATTAGAAGTAACTGCTGCTCTGACATTTCTCTTTTTTTTCTTTTTTTTTCTCTAAAAATTCCTTAAACATTTATAAGTTACTCAGTTTGCATTTTACATGATTAGTTCTTCTCCGAATGGTCACAGCGACTGTACAATGCGAGAGACACCAGCGAGAGGGGAAGCGACGGGAACGGGGGATGTGCCCCGAGAACGCACCCCAAACTCCTCGGAGGGGAAAAGGGAGGGCTGGAGCCTCAAATCCGGGGGGCCCACGGAGTGCCCGGGGCACCCACGGCAGTGCCACAAAGTGCCAGTGCTCGGCTGCACCCCCRGGGCAGCGGGGTCCCCACCCCAGCCCAGGCAGCAGCACCCCGGGGTGGGATGGGTGGGCACCTCTGGGATGAGGAAGGTGGGGATATGGGGTTGGGGATGCTGCAGCTGGCTGGGTTCTCCAAATCCTCCCTCCCTGGTGGCAGCTGRATTTGTGCTGGGAAGGGAGGAGGAGGAGGAGGGTGCCCAGGCCAGGCTGGCAGCGGGGCACTGTGCAGAGCTGGCACTGGCTGGCAGAAGGACCCTGAGAATTCACAGGCTAACACGGGCTGCGGGGAAGCCGAGTTAGGAGCATCACAGTGATCGTGGCTGAGCGGGGCTGTACAGGGGGAACAGAGCCCGTGGAGGAGCAGTGACCCCACACCTGCGCTCCCTATCCCATCCCAAAGGCTGCTGCGGGGCCACCCCRCAGCCAAACACGGCCACAAAAACCCCAATGGCTCGGGACGCGCCAAGGGACGGGGTTTAGGTGGCCCTAAATAATGGGAATAACGTTCCAGTTTATAAAACAATAAAAAAAAATCGGAAAGCAAGTGCGGGGCTACTGCAAGGTGCAGCGGCGGAGGTACCAGGTCATGCAAGCAGCCCCCTCCC